GGGATTTTATTGATTTAATTTGTTTTTAAAAAATTATTTGGGCAAAAATACACGTGTCATTGAGTCATTGGTTACTTTATATTTTTATTCAAAATTCATATCTACAAATTATTTTTTGACAAATGTCGTCATTTAATTTGCCACTTTACACGTCATCGCGAGTGTAAACACACACCTCATATATTTTTGTTGATTGGCAAAAAAGTGCCAAAATGACACAGCGAAACCCTACATGAGGTGTCTAAAATGAACATCATCCACTTGAGGTGCCTAAGTGAAATTTCGTGCCAAATTTAAGGGGCCACCGATGGATTAGCCCTATTTTGTTTTATTTTTTCTTCATTTGATATATTTCATGTGCATATTAAAATCCAACTAATTTCGACGGCAGGTAGGGTTACATTCAAAGGTAATGTATTATTCCCTATCAAATGTTTTTTAATATATAAGATTTGAATTCGAAATTTTAAATTAAAGAAGAAGCATTCTGTTCACATTCTTTGGTGATAATTTGTTTATTTATGAATTACCTTTATTATTAATTTATTATTGTTATTAATATTATAAAATATATTTTATTTAATAATAGGATGATTTGTGAAATAAGCTTAAATATTGTATGAAAATAATCTAATTTATTGTGAGATTAAGATATAGTAGTTTTTATTATTGTTGTGCTAGCAAAGACATTATCGAGTACTTTATCCAATTTGTAAGAGTGAACAATATTATAATTTGTAGGTGTTTGAACATGTTATGACTTCGAATTAAGTCTTGGATATATGATTTGAAATTATTATTTCAAATTCCAAATTATCTAAAAAGTATGAATTGAAATCTCAAATCGTGATTTTAAAAAAAAGAATAATTAATTGTTTTTATTGTTGACTAGTATTATCAGTAATTTTTAAAATTGAACAAAATATATTACTAGCTTTTAGGCTTAAATAAGTCAAACCTCATTGATCACTTACCTAAAAATTTAATTAATTTATTAAAACTATTAATGACTAACTTTACGTTTTCAAGTCTACCATTGGCGCTATTAATAGGAGTTCTAATACATTAGCCTATTTTTTTCCTTACTCATTTAACATGCAATATGAGATACACAATAATACCTCTGGGAATTATTTATTTTACCTTTTATATAAGGTAATAATTCCATCATTTTAATATAAATAGTGAGACAAAATAATATCGAAATTAGCTAATACCTCAAATCAAATAGTGCATAAAGTTAATTTCAAAACATTTATTTATCTTTTCTTTTACCTGTTGTAAATTTGTGATACTTTTTCCCTAGTAAAAATGCCTCACTAGAAGTCTAGAATGTAACCCATTTAATATAAATATTCACTCTATCTCATATTTATATGAAGGTGTTACTGTTTGGAGAGAGTATTATTTTTTACTAAAATCTCATATATATTTTTTCAAATTTTAGATATTAAGTATATGACTTATACTTTTCATATAGTTTTCAAATATGCAAATATTATGTTTAGAAAGTTTAAATCAATACATACCACAAATGGCAAAAGAAGAAAACAACAACATCGATCACGGTGATCCCACTACAACAAATAAATGATTTTGCGATAATTATTGATAATGTTGTTGGAATCTTGAATTTTCACAGAATTTGTGATTTAGCTTTGAGTTTACCTTGTGGTAATCTCCTTCAACTCATCATTTGTCTGCAATGCATAAATTAATTGTAATTAGCACCTTTTATATATAAATATATGACAAAATGACCAAAGAATATAGTTCAATCATCTAATGTTAAAAATATTTATCATAGAAAAGAGTAATAAAAATGTAAGAGAAAATTCATTCAAAAGAAAAGTTATTTGACTCTATACACTTTCCAAGGGTAATTTGTATAGTTTTTACTTTTATCCTAGAGATAATGGTAAAAAACACATGTGTTTGGGTTTCACATCTTATCTATCAGATGTTCCATTTTCTTATCTGAACTAAACACACCTAGTTGAGTGTGTTTTACTACATAGAGTGTGTAATAGTTGAGGTAGCAAATGAGAACAACTGATAGTTGAGATGTGAAAACTTGTGAAAAAGTGATAGTTTGTTGCTTCCCATTGCTTCAGATTCATGTCCTCAAGAAGTAAAAACTTTAGTCGCGAGAATCCATATTCCTCTTCATCGGTTAGTTTCCAAATATGTCCGTGAGAGGCATTGATCTTTAAGTTTGAGCACCTCAAGATTAGGTAACTTACTGAGAATGTTCATGTCTTCCCATTGTAGGTGTGTTGGGCACAATGTTAACTTCTTAAGGTTTTGTGGGAAATTGTCATAGTGTGGAATGCGTAGACGAGGGGAGATGGGATCCTCAGATCAGATAAGAAGGTATGAAGGTTGAAGATTTGTTCATTTTCTTCTATGTGTATTACTATTTGTTGCTTTATTTGATTTGTATCTTGTTGTCATATTTTCTTGCTACCTTGCTTCAAATTCTTTTTAAAAATGGTACAAATGAAGAAATTGCACTGACCCAAATGAGGAAATCAGTTGAAAAGCTTGGATCTTCCACTGATGTAAGAAAAAATTGAGTCCCCTTTTCCTCTTTTAGTGTAAAGTTCAAATCTTTGTACTGATAATCAGTTTTGATTGTTTTTTTTAAAAAAAAACAAAAAAATTACCCCCTTTTCCTCTTTCAGTTTAAAGTTCAAATCTTTTTACTGATAATCAGTTTTGATTGTTTTTTTCTTAAAAAAAAAATTACCCCCTTCTCCTCTTTCAGTGTAAAGTTCAAATCTTTTTACATATAATCATTTTTTTTTTGTAAAGTTATGGAGAACAACAGTTATGAGGTGCTTGATTGCAAGAGTGACTTTTCCCCCATAGTAAAGTTTCCTCTTTTTTTTTCTCAATACATTGCATTTTTGTTGTGGTGGGTTAGTACATAAATGTTGATCTTGCTTGTGCTTAATTATTATTTCAGAAAGTCATGCTTCTTCTTTTCGACAAAGAGAGTGACAATACCTAACCATAGTTATTTTCCAAAGTTATGACCAAAAAGTGGCTCATTACAGTATGAATGTAGTTTGGGCAAGTTGTATGACTTTGGGCTTGATTTTAACAAACTATTCCAACTTGCCTTTTGGTACTACAAGTCTTAAATACCATTGACTTCAATCAAAATAATTCAGAATTCTCTATTCTAACCATCCACCAACCCCACCACAACTCTCTTATAGAGATTGGAGAAACAGACACAAAGATAAGACTTCTCTTTTACATAGCCTAAAAAGTCTAGCATTCCCATCCATTACATTGCCTTCTTCTTTCATAAAGAATTGGTTTTGAGCATCTTAATCAAGAACTCAGAACTTCCTCCTACTGTTCTGTTTAGCAAGAAACTAACAAACAGCGATATGGCGGCGTATGCTGCTGTGACTTCACTTCTGCATACCCTGGATAATCTATCTCAAACTCATACATCACATTCTCTTCTTTACAAAAAAGAGCAAACTGAAGTCCTCAGTGACAAGTACACCTTCCTTAAAACCTTTCTTGAGGATTTTACTAATATTTTCAATGAAGATATAAAGATGAAGCATCTGGAAAGGATGATCCAAGAAGCTGCTAATGGAGTGGAAGATACCATCGACTCACATGTATATGATAGCTCTGTCGTAGTACAAAGCAAGCGAGTACGAAGAAAGGCTGATATGATCTTTCATCAAAACTTGGAATATGCAATAGAGGAAATTGGTTTGATACAAAGAGAGGTAATGAAAAAGATAAAGGTCAGCAGTTTTAACAGAAAAATCTCACATTCAAGAGATACTTCTTCCTCACAGTTCCCTTTGGATCAAAAAGATATAATCGTTGGACTAGATGAAGATTTACTAAAGATAAAAGATCGACTCAT